TAATGCATGTGTGTACGCAAACATGCACGTGCGCGCACACACATGCATTACATACCTATTCAACATTGTAAATAAATGAGGTTGATCTTAAGTGGGATGAAATATAGTGTTAAGAAACTTAATTTTTCTGAGAATGATGGTAGTGGCTTCTCAGGAGAAAGTAAAGGCCATTCACCGCTTTCTGAAATACCTGAAGAGTTGACCTAATGCCTTTCAGTGCTTAAGTCTTCTATTGTCACATCCTTTGGGACTGTGTAAGAAAGTCACTGATGCGTATAAGTGACTTTCTATTTCTTGAAATAAGGTATTCACAGAGTTCACATTGGATTTTCTCTCTTAAAAAAAATCAAATCAAGGCTTTAAAGAAGCAATAAATGTTTAATGATGGTGCTGGATGCTGTTAAATTCGAACACCAGAAAAATCCTTGATTGTATAAAAGTAACCTCTTACAACTAAAAAAGGTGTTTTTGTGTAGTGATTCTGAAACAACAGATGTAGCAAAAAAGGGTGAATTGACAGCCATAGGGAACTGAAGCCCACAGAGCAGATACAGAGGGAACAACCAGAGCTGATGGCAGTCTTCCACCCACACCACCCTTGCTGTCAGTTTGCTTCAACTAAACCCTGTGGGAGAAGGTAGAGAACTGCATCTACAACAAATGAGAGTTTATTTTAGATTGATTGAGCCTATAGCTTCTTGGCTGATATCTACTAAGCAAGGTTATAATTAGTGTCAAAGAAGATAGTGAAATAGTTTGAAAATGCCATAGATGATATTTGTGCATTTCTTAAAGCAATATTGCATGTTGTGGATCATCCTAATTCAGTCACACTGTAAGTAGTTCAAAATCATTTTTTTAAAAAAAGAGAACTCTTGTTCAATGAATATGCTTATAGAAACACCTCTACTATTTATAGTAACTCAGGAACTATGGATATTAATTGAAAGTGATTATTCAGCATTTCATACTTCACTACAACCTCAATTGAGCATTCTTTAAAATGTTATGTGCTGCAGAAAACTAGCCACTTTTTTTACATTTGTGGGAAAAAAATCAAATTAGTGGTTAAGAAATACAAGTACTCTATAAATTCAGCCTAGAAATGAGATTTTATATGGAAAAGTTTTCATTTCTTAATGTAAATTTTGTCCACTAATCTTGCTCTTCTAACATTTCATATAAGAGTAGGTGTACAACTTCTTTTGACAGGATCAAATTTGTCCTAAAAATCAGGTTTGCAGCTTCATGCAGTCACCTGGAGCAGTGGACATTAAAAACAGTGATGGCTGCAGGCATTTTATCAGATGGCCTGTTAATTGTGTACTTCCTTGGAAAAACTGAAGTTGGCCTCATCTATCCATCCAACCTACTCACTTCCAGGTTTGATTATATGAAGCACTCTATAAGGGAGAAACTTTGAGCTTGGCTTAAAAATTTCAGCCAGCCCTCAACTGGGAGCTTGCATCTTTGATACTATTCTAGTATACGTTGGTTACAATTGGCTTGTGATTGTTTCCGATTTCTAAAGGCCCTGGTTCCTAGGAACAGCACATCTGGAGAATCATTCATTCATACCTGAACCTGCCAAGCTGTTGAGATCTACTTTTGAGGCTGTATTTTAAATCCTCCTGCTATCAGTTGTGTGATGGGTAAAAGAGGCAGGGTCTTTCTTGTCAATGGTCTTTTCTGAGAGAGGTCTATCTAGTTCTATTACTTTTAGTTTATCTGAAAAACTGTTTCAGATAAAGTTTTACTTTTTTTTTTTACTTAGGTTGTTTTTTCTTTACTGAGAATCTAACTCCTTTTCCTTGGACCAGGGGCTGGAGTAGGTTCAAAGTAATAAAGATATGGTGGATTATTGGTTTTGATTATTTGGTTTTGATTGGAATATAATTAGTTGTCTTCAGCATGACTGACAGAAAGCAAGGATATAAATCATACTAACAAGCAAACAAACACATGGAGATCTATAAATAGACATTCATAGATTTGATGAGTTCTTGGTTTAGACATTATTTTTCTGCATTCTGTAGGTATATGTTCAGCTGTTCCTTGTGGACTGAGCATGATTTTAGCAGTGATATCTTTCTTTCTTTTTGTATCATTTCAGGTGGGATGGTGGAAGGACAAACGCCTTAAGATGAAATATTATGTGTGGCCACGTTCTGAGCTATACCCTAACTGTGAGGAACGTGAGGATGACCATCTTAGCATAGTGACCCTTGAAGAAGCACCTTTTGTTATTGTGGAAAATGTGGACCCACTAAGTGGTACTTGTATGAGGAACACTGTCCCATGCCAAAAGCGAATTGTATCAGAGTAGGTACCAACGAAACCTTTTCTAACTACAGTAGTTCTTTTCAGCATGTTTCTTCCTGCAACAATGACAGTACAGCTGGATTGTTTCAGAGGAGTCATGTTTAATTAATTTTGTCTCACTCCACTCTGCAGCATTATCTGCATCAAGTGAGCTTTTCAGTGGTGGGTATTTAATTTATGTATTTATGTATGTATGTATGTATGTATGTATGTATGTATGTATGTATTTATTTATTTATTTATTTATTTATTTATTTATTTAATATTTATATAGCTGTCCATATTGTAAACATGACTGGGTGGTTAACAAAGTTTTAAAAAATCAGTCCAGAGCAATAATAAGATAAAAAGAATTAGAACCAAAAACAATGGGGCATAAAATGGCAACCAAGGAATCTAATAAATCAACATTTCATGGGCTCTCCTGATCTCCTGACTCTCGTGCCTGGGAAAACAGCCAGGTCTTAAGGGCTTTCTGAAAGGCCAGCAGGGTCAGAGCCAGCCTATCCTCAGATGGCATGGTATTATATTATATGAAGGAATGCAGAGTCAGCTATGGAAAGAAACTAGGAATTACAAAGTGAAGTTTTACTTAATTCTGAATGTCACAATAAACCTAATTTCATCACACCAATGTGGCTGCATGATAGTTTTATCTGGAATTTTCTAGGGCTATGTTTTAATTAATTTATTTTATTTGTATGCTGCTTATTTTTCAGGACTCTGGATAGGAACCAACCCTTTCCTCATATAGCTACCTGTGGCTCCCACCTTTCCCCCAGTCCTTTTTTGATCATCATATGATAGCATTTCCAAAACATCCAGAGTGTCTCCTGAGTCAACTCTCCTATACAGTATTCTATTTATTTTATTTTTTTCTTTACCTATTTTCCTTTCATTAGATAGCACTTGGGTTATTTTACTGACAAATTAGCTGCATGATGCTTAAAGTAAACTTCACAACTGCAAAACTTGCATCAAGTTACTGCCATCCAACACCCATCCAACATCCAACACCTAAATACTTCATCATTTAGAGAGAGCTTCATCATCTTGGACCCACATTTTCAGATCTAATCCCAACCACTAGGGCCTTACTGAACAGTTCAAAAGAAACTGTTCTCCTGATTTAGGGCCCCTCTATGGGAACAGCATCTTCAGTTGTCATTCAGTGGTACAGGATATTTCAGTACCTCCACTTATTCAGATAATTCAGTTCCATATGGGGATCTCTATTGGATGGAAGTACCATTTAACTTTCCTGAATCAGGGGAATTTCATCTTATTTTCTTCCATCAGAATCTTTAAACAATTCTTAGAAGATTTACCCATAAATACTCACAAGTTTAAATCTTGTCCTCAAGTGGAGACTTTCTCTGATTATCCTCCATTCTCTTTAAGAACTCCATCACATTTCTCACTCACTGCCCTATCCAGATGGGATTATCAGATTTGATATCTGATTCCCTCTTATCGTTGTCTCCTTTGGAACACACCCTGCTCTACCCTGATATTGGTGAGTGTAGAGGCAAGAAGGAATGGCCTTGAAGGCAGAAGGAAGAGACGCTATGAAAGGCAATAGTCAGATAAAAGGGTCCTGAGCCCGGGCCAAGAATGTAATGTGAGCATACATCTCAGACAAGCCCCTCCTTAGTTCACTTGAAGATGGAAGGAGTGGGGAAGCCATTCAGACTTTCAAGATTCTATTACTAAAGCTGTATTATAAAAGTACTGACCTACACGGCACTGGTTTCCTAGTCTGGTCTACCTTGAAGGATTGATAGTGAGCCATTGCATTTTATCTCATTTAAATGTTTTTGTTCTGCAGGATCCACAATTATTTCTATGATATATGAAGCTCAAGGCAGGAATTGTCACTATTGATGCAATAGTTTTCCAAATGGGCTATGGCTCTGAACCTTTTGTGTTATGGACACAAGGTCAGGGTCCTGTATCCAGAAGCATCAGATTTCATTCAATGTGCACTGTCTACAATTCTGCTATGGCCTTGCAATATATTTCAAGCTGTTTGACTGCAGCCTTCAACCTTTATTAAGTATTAGAGGCTTGATGTTCAGTCCAGTAATATGTAGCTTTTAGGGAGCATGCATAGCTTCACTGGCTCTCTGATCATTTGTTCCCATCACCAGGTAACTTATTACTCACTTATATTTGTGATTCATAGGGATCCCAGTAAAGAAGAACTGGTTACTGACCTCTAATAGAGTTTCTTTGATGGCCATCTGTGAATTCATATAACCCTCCATCTTTTCCTTTTACATAGCTTACCTTATCTCTTCTCTTCCAAAGCTGCTGTACCAGTATTTGGAAATCAGGGGAAAGTTGGAGCCAGACCTAGCTTATAAGGGAAAGGGGGGAATCCTGCGCAAACTCGTATCTCTTGAAAAGTTCTGTGTTTGCCTGCTATGCATTTACAGAAGCCATATGAGTAAATTCAGAAATAACCTTTTAAAAGAATTAAGCTAAATATTAAATTCTCATACACATTTTGGCAAGAATTTTGATTAAAGAAAGACAAATCATAATATTTGTTTTTTCTATATTTCTGCTAGTGGTGTTCAGTTTCTGCTAACTCTGAAGGCTAGATTTATATTTCAGTTTAGAATCAAGCCTGGGAATTCTTTTAAAAAATTATGTGGTATTTATCAAAATAAATTTAAAAGACCTTTTGAATGCAACATGATGGGAAACACGCACCATGTCTTTTTGTTTATAAATTTAGCATATTTTTATTCTGCAAAATTATGTCTTGTTACCTTTGTCTAGAAACAAAACAGATGAGGAGACCGCCTATATCAAGAAATGTTGCAAAGGGTTTTGTATTGATATTCTTAAGAAAATTTCCAAGTTTGTGAAGTTCACCTATGATCTTTACTTGGTAACCAATGGTAAACATGGAAAGAAGGTCAATGGAACATGGAATGGAATGATTGGTGAGGTAAGCCAAGAAAGACTGAACTTTTATCTCATCACAAAGCAGGCTTTTCACAAAACTGAATGAGTGTTTCTCTAGCACAGATTCTGAGAAATAAGTCTTATATTCCAAATCTACATATTACATTGGAGTTTTACTACTTGGAAAAAAACCTGTATTTAAATTCTCATTAAGCAAATTCATTACGTGGCACAATATTTAAGTAAAGCATAACAACCTACACATATTGCTGAACTGCAACTCAACTTTTATCATCCTTTACCATTGGTACTGCTGTCTAGGGCTGCTGACAATTCAACAAAATCTGGAAGTCCACAGATAGCCCACCCCTGCTTTACACAACTGTAAAAAGTTTAAAAAAAGGAAAAGAGCAAATAGAAGAAAGAATTGTCCTAGAAGAGGATGGAAAAAGAAGGGCAGGAGAAATAAGCCTATCTTGTTTTGTTTGCAGTAATGAAACTACTTTTTATCCTCATTTCAGAGGAGAAGATGAAAACTATATTTAGCCATTGAAATATCACCTCCCTTTCTTCATGTTATGCCATCCAGAAGTAGATATTGCCACCCTCCCCCCACCTCAAGACAGCAGAGTTAAGTCAGGGGAATCTGGCAGATGGCAGACCATGTGATGCACTATCAATTGCCTCATCTTTGGGAGGAGGACAATGTAGTCTTTAGTCAGTGTTTACCTGTCAATGTTTCATTCCAGTACTGGGTACTATACTAGGAAATATTTTATCTTAACTATCATTCAGAATGTTCCAATATGTACATCAATTCTTGAACCATATACAGTGGTACCTCAGTTCACGAACTTAATTCGTTCCATGACTCTGGTCGTGAACCAAATTGGTCGTGAACCGAATCAAATTTTCCCATAAGGTTCAATGTAAATATGGTTAATCCATTCTGAACCATATGTTTTTTTTTTTAAAACTGCAAAAATATGACAAAGTACAGCACGAAGAGAGAGAAAGCTAACCTTGCTCGATGCGACTT